TTCCAGATGAGGAAATTTGCACTTTGAGATGTTAAATAATGTGACAAGAAATAAAGCCAAGATTTGAACTCAATCAGTCTGATTCCTAAGCCAATGATCTTAAGCACTAGACTAGAAGATACTGTCTTGAAGGAGCACATAAGATATTTGAGCCCAGAAAAACAGTAAACACAAAGTCACTTGTACAGTAATGTACACAGTGTTCTTAGATGACAATTCAACAGCAGCAAAAACAGCAGCAACAAGAGGGGCCACCTTGACTCAGCACTTACTATGTGCTAAACCCTTTACAGACACTATCGCATTTAAGCTTCGTACCAGACCTGTGGGGAGCTCTGGTAGCGAAGTGCCTAAGGCACTTGACTGCTAACCAGAAGGCTGGTGGTTCAAATCCACCAGCCACTCCTCAGAAGAAAGATGAGGCAATCTACTTCCATAATGATACTGCCTCGGAAACCCAAGGAGGGGTCGCTATGAGTCAGGTCCGATTCGATGGCACATAACAACAACAACAAACAACAACCAGACCTGTGAGGTAGGTTTCATTATACCCAGTTACGGGTAAGAAGGCTGAAATTGAAAGGAGTTAAGTGACTTCCCCAATGCACAAATTCAGAAAATGACAGACCTAGAATTCAAACCCAGATATCTGATTCCCAAAGTCTATGTTCTTTGCTACTTGACGACTTGATTGTTCGGGAAAGGAGAAAGAGTTAAGGTAGAAAGATATGTAAGGCCCTGAAAGTGGTCTGAACATTTGGATTTAACCAAATGTCCTTTTTTAGCAACAATTAGCTACCAGGAACCAGTGTCTGTTCAGATATAAAGACCTATCTAGTACACTATGAAAGGTTTGTACAGGGCAGTTACCCAGTGCAAAAAAGTATTTAGAAAAATTAATCTGGGCAGGAAACCAACTTGACATTTATTCCAATGGAAGAGACAGGAAAAATTAAAATAATAGACAAGATTCCCCAAAACTGAAATTAGAAAGAGATGAGTAATAAAAACATTACAAAGAAAAATGTGGTAACACTTGATAACTAGATGGATGGGAAAGAGACAAAGATAATTATATGTACACAAATTGGCTACTAAAGTTACAGTATATTAACAGAAATATGAAAAACACAAGGAGAATGATAAGAATGAATTTAGATATGCTGAAATTAAGGGGACAGTAGCACATCCAAGTAGTAACAAAAATTTGAACAGGGTAGAACAAACAAAAGAATACTGCAATATGCCTTCACAAACCTGCCTGGGTGAGACAGCTTGCTAATTAATTCCACAAAGGCAAAGACCAAACCAAAACTTCACTGCCATTGAGTTGATTCCACAGCAACCCTATAGGACAGAGCAGAATTGCCCCATATGGTTTTCAAGGCTACAAATTTTTACGGAAGCAGACTGCCTCATCTTTCTTCTGCAGAGAGATGCTGGTAGGTTTGAACTGTCAACCTTTTCATCAGTAGCTGAATATCTTAACCACTGCACCACCAGAGCTCTGCAGGTGAAGACCAGTTCCATCTTCTTCGCTGCTATATCCCTATCACACCTCACTCAGACTAGGTGCTCAATAAGTATGTGAAGAATAAAGTCAATGATCCAATCATATGTAAAGCTAGGCCTTCTGTGGATTTTTCAATTGCTGGGGCAATAAAATTCCATTTTTGCTTAAATCAGATTGAATCAGATTATATACCAGCATTGAGAAGATTTCTGGCTAATCTACTTGCCTAAGTAGCCCTCATTTTGAGGATAAGCCCAGTGAAGAGGTAGCTCCTCTATTTCTTTGAATAACCTGTTTGTTTTACCTTATACAAGATACAAAAATACCCCATGTGAAAATTTTTGCTTGGGAACTTGTAATTGCAACTAAGGATGCTGAAGGTCTCTCTTCTAAACCATGACAGTATAAGCAAATCAGAAAGATACAGTACAGAGGCTATACCAAGGACAATGTGAGCTCTGATCAGCTTGTCCTAAACACTGAAAAGCTAGATTTACACTTTACCACTGAAGTTGCCACATTCCAATCTGCTGACCAAAACCTACTGCCATCAAGTCCATTTCAACCCTAGAGAACAGAGTAGAACTGCCACAGAGGGTTTCCATAAATCTTTACAGAAGCAGAATGCCCCATCGTTCTCCTTCAGAGTAGCCAGTAGGTTCGAACAGTCAACCTTTTAATTAGTAGCCCAATGCCTTAACCACAGGGCCACCAGATTTTCTTCTAATCTGCTGATATAAGTAAAAATCCATGGTGCAGAACATGACACTGGGAGATAACAAACAGCAGAGACTGCCTACTAGAACAATGCTATAAACAACACTGAAGAGCATCAGCCCCCAGACTGCAGTCACAAGAAACAACAGACATAATCTCCTATCTCTCTGAAATCCAGATTACAAGTATATACAAAGAAAAGCACACAGGGGTAGGGGAAGGAAGCCACTGATATCACAAATACAACCTGCATAAATGCTAGGAAGGAAAAAGATAAAGAAGCAAACAATTTTGGGGGTGCACATTTTTATCTTCAGGCCCAAATCCTAAACTCCCATAATCTTAATAATCTGTATCTTTTCATTTGACACATACATTTGACATATATTTCAGATTGTAATACTTATGTTATTTACATACATTTTCTACCTCCTCAGCTAGACATATAATGAATAATTCTACCTTCCTTTAATAATAGCTATCATTTACTGAATAGCTTCTGTCTTGTAAGTGATGTGCTAAAAACCATATATAAATGATTTAGCTCACTTACTTGGACTGAGTTTATCCTAACCAGGAACTGCAACTAAAAGAATGGATCATGCCTCTTTCTTACTTTTCCCACTGCTGTATTTAAATAGAAGTAGAACAAATGCATGAAGGTATAAAGTGATGTATTTTAGCTCAACCTAAGGAAGATATTCTGGTAGTGCAGTGCCTAAGGCATTTGACTGCTAACCAGAAGGCTGATGGTTCAAACCCACCAGCCACTCCTTGGAAGGAAGATTGGGCAATCCATTTCCATAGTGACACTGCCTGCCTTGGAAACCCAAGGAAAGGTTGCTATCAGTCAGATCCAACTCGACGGCAGTGAGGTTATTTTATTTTGTTTTTTGGAAGGAAGATATTCTAGGAGGGTCAGAGAGGTGTTCTACAAAGGCTTGGGCTGCCTCTGGAAGAAGTGGTTACTAGAGGAGACAAAGTAGAATTTTAGCAGGGACATTATGGAGATTATGGAAATGATGCAAGTATCAGAGGGGCTGTTAAAACAGTCAGTCAGAATTGGGAAAGTATACTGGAGTTCAGCTTTAAGTCTAGAGAAGTAGTTGCATTAGGGTCAGAGCCCACAACTTCCTATCTTTCCTGATATATAAGCCTGGGCTACCCCAAGATATTCTGTACTCCATTATTGTCTCATTGTCTTTAAATGCTCACAATATTTTCTCTAGAAGATATGCAGGTATTGTACAATTCTGGATTCATCTGATCTACGGATAGGACACCAGGGAGGTGGATCCTATGTACTTTTGTTATTCTGGGTGTCTAGTAAAGCTGAATAGGTAATATAGGGGAAAGTTAAAGTAGCAGAGTAGACAATCCTCTTCTTATAGCAAGCCTTTGACCCTGACCCCCCTGCTTGATTGTATTAAGTTTACAGGTTATAGTGTTTTATTAAAAGGAGACAGAACATGGAAGAAAACTACATATAGCCATGTTGGGAGAAGGGGTTTCATTACAACCATTTAAGTCTTTGTCAAAAATGCACACCTCTAAGAAAGGTTTGAAGGAGCTCTGGCTGTGCAGTGGTTAAGGGATTTGGCTGCTAACCAAAAGTTCAATGGTTCAAACCTACCAGCCACTCCATGGAAAAAAAGATGAGGCAGTCCTCTTCCATAAAGGTTTACAGCCTTGGAAACCCAACATGGATCACTGTGAGTCAGAATCAACTTGTTGGCAGTGAGACTGGTTTTTCGAAGACAAGTTTGAGGCATTGTTTTATAAGATGGTACTCCAAGCTTGTTTTACATTTAGCTCTTTGACTGCTTGATAATGATAAAATCTCTTGAGCAGCTATTGGTCAGGGAATAGCATGTATAAAGGTCCAGCAGTAGAGAAAGCAAAGTGGGGTTGGGAAACTGGAACATAAGATTCTGAACCACAGAAGTAGGAATATATGAAACTGGAAAGAGAAGCAAAGCCAAGAATAGGAAGAGCTTTGTTAAGGAGTGTTTAACTTAAGGACAGCAGGAAGTCACTGAAAGACTTTAAACAGGTTTAAGAAGTGTTCAGAGTTGTATTTTAGAAATATTGTTTCAATTGCTATGTAGATAACGGATTGAGAAGGAGAAGAGAATATAAGACATGGACAGGAAGAGTTACGATGCTTTTACAGTAACCCATGCAAGAGAACATGGTAGTTCAGAACACAGTAGTAGTAACAGATGTGAAGATCCAATAAATATTCATTAGGTAAAATCACCAGGACTTGGCAAGAGAGAGTCAAGGATGACCGTGAGATTTCTGGCATGGTCACCTGGGTGATCAGTGGTGCCATGCAATGATATTAACACATGGGAGAAAGGACTGAGAAGAATATGGTTCAGTTTGGATCATGCTGTGTTTGAAATGCCCCCATGGCATCCAAGCAGAAATGTCTAGAAGGTAATTGCCAGATCTGAACTAGAGATACAAATGTGGAGCTCATTAGCATACAGACTCTGTAGAAGCCAACCCACAAGGTTAGAGTAACAGTCTGTGCTAAGAAAAAAAATACTGACCTTACTATTACTACAATTTATACTTCATAGTTTACAGAGGGCTTCACATTCAGGTACTTATTGTGAGTGTCCTGGAATAAATATGGAATTCAAGTTCATCACTAAAGGAAAAGCAACTCCCACTGGCCCAAACTTAACAAGTGAGACCAGAGATCTAACTCACCACAGTCTGCAATGTTCTAATACATCAATTCTAACATCATAATACTCACCAGTTGACAAGGCCTCCTCCCGAACCTCTCCCTCAGCAGGCTGGTGAATATTCCAGGACGTTTTAGGAAGCAAAGAAATTTCTTCAGGTGATGCTAACTTCACCATATCCATGTGGTTGCTCTGGAACTGGTACTGTGGGATGAAGCAAGTTTTGCCTCGTTGGAAAATGTCTTTGATGATCTCCTCTGTCTCAATTTCATCTTGCATGCTCAAAAAGATGGAAATTCTTTTGGACTTTTGATACTGACTATGGGCAATCACCTAAATGGGAAATGATAGCATTCATATTTTCAAAATGACACTTTTAAGAACTAATGACTTCCCTTAACAGCTTTTCCCTTCTTACTCAGCCTTCTCCAACTTTTTAGTCCCCCTCCCCAAAACAAGCAGAGTGGTATAGGGAGGTAAGACAGTGTTGACTCCCTATAGCTCTGGATCCAACACTTTCTTCTCTGATCCCTTTATACCTCTCTGCACATTCAATCTATCTGTTGTTGTTGTTGTTATGTGCCGTTGAGTAAGACCCAACTCATAGCAACCCCTTCTTCAGTTTCTGAGGCAGTATAACTATGGAAGTAGACTGCCCAACCCTCCTTCCGAGAAGTGGCTGGTGGGTTTGAACTGCCAGCCTTCTGGTTAGGAATCAAGTGCCTTAAGCACTACCCTACCAGGGCTCCTGTCCAATCTATGTAGGAGGTATAAAAAAATATCCATTAAAAACTCACTACAACCTGTGGGCTCGGGACCATAGTTGCAGGGGACATCAAGTTCAACTGGCATAACATACTACACAAAAACACTGTTCCACGCCCTACTTTGGTGAGTAGCGACTGGAATCTTAAAAGCTTGCAAGCGGCCATCTAGATGCAATGGTGGGTCTCTCCTCATCCAGAGCAGAGAAGAATGAAGAAAACCAAAGATTCATGGAAACAATTAGTCCAAGTGACTGGTACACCATGCAATCCTCAGCATATATGAGATCAGAAGAACTAAATGGTGCCTGGCTACCACTGTCAACCACTCGGAGAGGGATCTATGTAGGAGTTCCTGAATAGAATGGGAGAACAATGTGAAATAAAACTCAAAATCATTAAAAAAAAAAAAAAAAAAAAACGGGGGGTCTGATAGAGCCTGGTGGAACTACTGGTTTTATGGCTGCTAGCTGCCCTTCAGGTCTGGAATTGAACCCACTCATGTGGCTTCCAGCCAAACAAAAGACAGGCATATGAGCTGAACATTTACATTAGGTAGATATACTCCTTGCACAGATCAATCATGGGAGAATAAAAGGGCTGTTTATGCACAGGGAGACAGCTCAGAGGGCAGGAGTGCATGGAGGGATGGACACAAGGAAGAGGTAACTATGGGGAGGAAGTGGGAGGGGAGTTGTTGCATTGTAGGAAATTGCAGTCAATGTCATGAGACAAAGTGTATGTGAGCCGCTGTGTGGAAAGTGACTTTGCTCTGTAAACTTTCACCCAAATTGCAATAAAAATTTAAAAAAAAAAAAAAAAAAGTCACTACAGAGACCTGCTGTCTGTCTCAGGAATTCCAGTCTTGACCTCCACCTGTCCACTTAAGTAATGTTCAGTTATCCCCTCGTTTCTTTATTTTAACACTGAACCTTTATTCCTGTCAGGCTTCTCTCCTCCTAAATTTGATCCATTTAAAACCCAATTCAAGCTCTAGCTTTTCCTGACTTCTGCAGAATTCTTACTCCATTTAGTTAATATACCACTTAACACTTAATTAACTGTTGTTTCATGTGCCTTAAAATGCAATAGCCCTAATCAGACTGTAAGTTACTTGGAAGAGAATGTACCTTAAAATTCTCTTCACTCTCCCTCCACCCCAACCTTTTTTTTAAATCTCTTCTGTCAAATGATGTTAATATAATATGTTCACAAAAACAGACAGAGGGAGATGCTGGAGAGGCAGACTACCTAAAACCAGGCGGCAGGTTAAGAAGTGGACCTGAATAAAAGAATCCCTATGTGTTCAGTTTCATCAGGCATCAAGCTAAAAGGAACTGAGCTTTGCCTACACAGAAAAGTAACAATCTCAGGAGCTCACCCAGACATTTTTTCCCCCTTCCTTTCCTGTTCGTTCCTGTTCTCAGAGCTAAGAAGAAAAAGATACTGCAAAGGCATCTTCAAAATATGAGTAGTTAAAATATACAGGTAACTTACGCCACTGCTCAGAAGGAAGATGGGGCAATCTACTTCTGTAGTGAAACTGCCTCGGAAACCCAAGGAGGGGTCGCTATGAGTCGGGTCCGACTCGACAGCACATAACAACAACAACAACATATTCTTAATAAAAAGGACACAGAAATTAAGTAGATAGAGCATAACTTTTTGGTGAATTAAAAAGTTGCTATGAACACTGAAATAAGTAAAACAAATGAAAATGTGAAACCCAGACCTCGGGCAGACCTGAGGTTTTTGACACCCAAAATAAAGTAACTGAAATGTTTTCCTTGCTCTCTTTAAAGCTGAATACACTTACTCCTCATTTATCAACTATCTTGCTATCTGATTATTTTGCACTTACAAATAATAGTAAAAATCTACCATGTGACTAGTTTGCACATTAACAACGTACGTCTGGTAGTAGTGAATGCAGAGGTAACACTGGCTGTGATGGCTTCAGTTATGTGTCAGCTTGGCTGGGCCATGATTCTCAGTGGTTTATGTTGATAATTTGGTAGTTATGTAATGATGCTGTCATCCTCCATTTTTTTATACCACTGATTTTTGCATGATGACCTGGTCTTAGGAGCCTAACTATGTTGATTAGGATTAGTGAGGAATAGGTATAAAGGAAATCAAGAGCTGATTAAATATAGGTATACCTTGGAGACACTGCAGTTTTGGTTTAGACCACTATAATAAACCAAATACCACAATGAAGCAAGTAACACAAATGTCTCAATTTCCCAGTGCATACAGAAGTTATGTTTATAAAAACAAAGTTATGTTTACACTATACTGTAGTCTACTAAGTGTGCAATAGCATTATAAGAAAGTTTGAAATATTGTGAGAATTACCAAAATGTGATACAGAAACATGAAGTGAGCACATGCTGTTGGAAAAATGGCACAGAGCAGACTTGCTCAAACCAGGGTTGCCAAAAACCTTCAATATGCAAAAAACGCAGTACCTCCCAAGTGCAATAAAGTGAAGCGCAATAAAAAGAGGCATGCCTGTAGTCACAAACAACAGTTAAACTTCTGTGTGAGACCGTGCATACACATTTCTCTTTCTTCCTTGCTTAAATCTAATTTATATGACAGTAAAGAAGAACATAAAGGAAAATCCACAACAGCACTGAGAACAAGAAAATAGAGATTAGACCAGTTTCTGTAAAACACACAACAGATGCAACAGTATTGACAGACATGGACAGAAGCAGAACACAACACTCAGAGAAGATGGATGCAATGGAAGTAGACTCCATTCTTCCCATGAAAATTCAGCATGACTACAAAAGGCAGAGAAATCCCCACTAATTATCACAACTTCATTATCAAGCATTTTGGAAAATCAAAACACAAGATAACCCAAAAAAAACTCACTGCTGTCAAGTCGATTCTAACTCATAGCAACTCTATAGGACAGAACAGAACTGTCCCACAGAGTTTCCAAAGATGTAAATCTTTACAAAAGCAGACTGCCATATCTTTCTCCTATGGTGTAACTGGTGGGTTCAAACAGCCAGCCATTCAATTAAGTGCCTTAACTAAGTGCCTTAACTACTTAACCAGGGCTCCTTAAAACACAAAATCCACCAAAACCAAACTCACTGCCATCGAGTGGATCCTGACTCACAGCAACCCCTCCTTGGGTTTCCAAGGCAGTTATCCCTTTGGAAGTAGATTGCCCAATCTTCCTTCCGAGGAGTAGCTGGTGGGTTTGAACCGCCAGCGTGCTGGTTAGCAGTCAAATGCCTTAGGCACTACCCACCAGAGCTCCCAAAACACAAAATAGAAGATAAAAAAGATATAAACAAAGATGGCTCAGGAGGAAACTGAGATAATGCAGAGAACAGAGAAAGTTTCTTAAAATTCTGATTAGTTTTCTCAGACAAATTCAAGAAGATAATTGCATCTATAAAACAACAGTAGGCAGCAATAGTCAGGTAGCAATCATAAAATGAAAATAATCATTGGAAATTAAAATTAAAATTTCTAAAATTAAAACAATTTGGGAGATAGGCTTAAAATAGGAAAAGAAAGTCAAAGAAATGGGAAAAATTAGGGGGGAAAATGTCAATTTAGGATTTTTACTATTTGATTAACAGGAATTCTAGAAAATTTCAAAGGAAAAAGAAATAATCAAATATATAATAGACAGATAAAAACATTGGTGATCAGTCAGAATGGCAGAATCCAAACTATCAAACAAGTATGAAGGTAAAATAGACATTTTCTAAAATGCTTAGAATATGTTTTAAAATGCTTTTTAATGTATTAAAAGTTATCTGACATACATTTTCTGGGGGAAAAAAAACTAAGAAAGAGGAAGGTATTGATTTCAAGAAATAGTCCTTACCCAGAAGTAAAGGAAGAACTCCAGGGCAATGGTTGTACAAAGAAATAGAAGGCATGCAGACAACCAGGAGCAGGAGATGGGAGTGCTTTCAAGAAGAGAGAAAGTTCATTTTATGGACCAAGTTTGCTGGTCTGATAGAGCCTGATGGAACCACTGAGACTATGACCCTTAGCAGCCCTTCAGGTCTGGAATTAAACCTACACCTGTGGCTTCCAGCCAAACAAAAGACAGGCATAGGAGCTGAGTATTTATACTAGGTAGATAGACTCCTTGGAGAGACCAATCATGGGAGAATAGAAGGGCTGTGTATGCACAGGAGACAGGTCAGGGGGCAGGAGTGCATGGGAGAGAAGGACACAGGGAAGAGGTGTCTATGGGGAGGAAATGGGAGGGAAGCTGTTACATTGTGGGAAACTGCAATCAATTGTTATGAGATAAAGTGTACGTGAGCTGCTTGATAGTAAATGAATTTGCTCTGTAAACTTTCACCCAAATCACAATAAAATTTTTTTAAAAAAAAGAAGAAAGAAAGTTCATATTAAAAGACAAAAATGTCTAAGAATCTGTTGATAAGATAAAGGTATCTTCTTGTTCTGTCAAAAAGAAAAAAAATAAAAGCAATTAGAAACTCTTAGGAAAACAGAGTTACATTAGACGGTTATGAACCAAATAGGTGTAAACTAAATCATGGTATGATTTTGGGTAGA